ATAGAAGCATTGAACAGACTGACAAATTTCAGAGGAAAGGTGGGGGGAGGATGGACTGGTGGGAAGAGATTAACCAAAGAACTTATAGGCATATATGCATAACCCATGGACACAGACAATAGAGTGGTAAAGGCCTGGGCAAGGTGGGGAGAGGTTAGGCTAGAAGAGGTCGATCGTGAAGAAAAGGGGGACATAGGTAATACTTTCAACAATAAAGATATTTTTAAATAAAGTAGGAATAAGTCAATAGGGAAAAAATGATTTTATTTAAAGTCCCCCACTAATTGTTTAAAAAAAATTAATTAAATTTTGGAAAGAGTGGAAAGGAGAGAAGAGAGAAAAAAAAACATCATGAGCAAACATCTATTGGCTACCTTCTGCAGGCCCTCTGCCAGGGATGGAGCCCACAACCTCAGCATGTGCCCTGACCAGGATTAAACCAGTAACCTTTCAGTAGACTGGACCCAGACCAGAGAAGTGAAAGTGCCTGGGAGTTCACACCAACCAAGGACAGCTGCTAGACAATGATTGATAAGGGAATATGAAAGCTAAGCTCTCTTGCCTTAAAGGGCGGGAGGGGAGGGAGAGGGAGGGACAAGCTTTAGAGAGTACTTCAAGCTCCAGAATCTCCCTGGAATCTTGATGACTCTGCACTTCTGCAATCATGCCCTCAGTTGATTTCTTTGTCTTCCTCATCATGTCCCCTCACTACCAAACTGGCTTCTCCTGAGAGCATTTCCTAAATCAACCCCTGGCCCCGGAACTCTCATCTCAGGACCTGATTCTGAAAATCCTGATCTAAGATAACATAATATAAAGCAATGTATATTAAATGCTCAAAGATTTAAAAGTGTTACCTTGCCCAGATGGCTCGGTGGTTGAGCATTAACCTATGAACCAGGAGTCTGGTCAAGGCACATGCCTAGGTTGCAGACTCCATCCCCAGCAGCTGATCAATGATTCTCTCTCATCATTGATGTTTCCATCTCTCTTTCCCTCTCCCTTCCTCTCTGAAATCAATTAAAAAATAATAAGAAAATAAATATAAATAAAAAGTGGTACCATAAAGAATGAGCAAACAATGAAAAACCATTAAAAATGAATAGGTATATTTGAAAAAGAACTAAATAAAACTTTTAAAATAAAATTTTAATGACTGAAATAAACTCAATTGATGGTTTAAACAGCAGATTAGACACAGTTAAAACTAGAATTAGTGAACTAGAAGAAAGATCTAAAAATTGTAATAGCCAGTCTGGCTCAGTGGATAGAGCGTAAGCCTGCAGATTGAAGGGTCCTAGGTTTGATTCTGGTCAAGGGCACATACCTCGATTGCAGGCTCAATTCCAGCCCTAATCAAAGTGTGTATGGGAAGCAACCAATTGATATGTCTCTCTCACATCAATATTTATCTCTCTGTCCCTCCCCTCACTTCTACTCTCTCTAAAAATCAATGGAAAAATATCCTTAGTTAAGGATTAACAAAAAAAAATAAAGATAAAAAAATAAGAAGTGTAACCAGATATATTCCAAAGAAATAGGGAGAAAGAATATATAAAAGAGAGGTCAAAACAGTGTACAAATGATGTGTTGTGGAATTGTGCACCTGTATAATATTGCAACTAATGTCAACCCAACAAATTCAATAAGAAGAGTGGGAACTGAAACCGGTTTGGCTCAGTGGATAGAGCATCGGTCTGTGGACTAAAAGGCCCCAGGTTCAAGTCCCGTCAAGGGCATGTACCTTGGATACAGGCACATCCCCAATAGGAGGATTGTAGGAGGCAGCTGATCAATGTTTTCCTCTAATCAATGTTACTATAATAACTCTCTATCCCTCTCCCTTTCTCCCTTCCTCTCTGTAAAAAAATCAATAAAATATATCTTTTTTTAAAAGAGGGGGGAGGAAAGTCAGGATAAATCAAAGACCAAAAAAAAGAGAGAGGTTAAAAGATGACTGAGTTCATTCAATATACATCCTATTTAATAAAACCCTAATATGCAAATCAACTGAAAAGCAGAACATCTAGTCACTATGATGTGCACTGACCAGCAGGGGGCAGAAACTCAACACAGGAGCTGCCCCCTGGTGGCCAGTGCAGTCCCACTCAGCCAGAAGCCGGGCTCAAGGCTGGCAAGCACAGAAGCAGTGGCAGGAGCTTCTGCCTCGGCTGCGGGAGGGTGGTAAGGAACGAGAGGCCCCAGACTGCAAGAGCCTCAGACTGTGAGAGGGATGTCTGACTGATGGCTTAGGCCCAATCCACGCTAGCAGGCAGAAATCCCCCACGGGTTCCCAGATTGCAAGAGGGAGCAGGCCGGGCTGAGGGACCACCCCCTCTCCTGTGCATGAATTTCGTGCATCTGAATAATCATAATCCTGGAAGGGAAAAAGAAACAAAAAAACAGCAATCTCATTCTTCAATATGTATCTTATAGACACTCAAGCACTTATGCACTGGGCATATACCCCAAACTGAAAACAACTCTAATGTTCATTTAAAAAAATTTTTTTAAGATAAATAAATTATAGCAAAGTCACAGAGTAGAGTATTATATAGCAACTCGAGGCCCAGTGCACAAAATTGAAATTCCTGCACTAGAGGGGGTGTGGGGGATATAGTGGAGGGGAGGGGGACTAGGGGAGGTTCCTCAGCCTGGCCTGCACTCTCTTGCAATCCGGGACCCCTTGGGGGATGTCCAACTGCCAGTTTAATCAGACATCCCTCTCACAATTTGGGACTACTGGCTCCTAACTGCTCGCCTGCCTGCCTGCCTGTCTGCCTGATTACCCCTAACCACTCTGCCTACCTATTATACCTTATTGCCCCTAACCCCTCTGCCTGCTTGCCCCTAACAATTTGCCTACCTGCCTCATCACCCCTAATCACTCTGCCTACCTGCCTCATTGCCCCTAACCCCTCTGCCTGCCTGCCTCATTGTCCCTAACTGCCTCTACCTGCCTGCCTCATCACTCTTAATTGCCTCTGTGTCGGCCCCCACCTCCACGGCTTCATCTGGAAGGTTGTCCAGAATGACATCCGGAAGGTCATTTGGTTGTGCTGTCTAATTAGCATATTACACTTTAATTATTATAGAAGATAAAAACAGATGTATTATAGCTACAAGCAATAACATAGATATATCTCAAAAATATTTTTATAAAGCACAAAAATAAGGAAAACTAAACCATATATTGTTTGGAAATATATACATAACTATTTTAAGGCAAGTTAATATAAATACAAAATAAAGGATATTTGTTGCTTCTGGTGGAAAGGCAGGAGAGTCAAACCTATGAGATATACAGAGGGTATTGATAATATTCTAGGTCTCAAGTTGGATAATTTACTATATTCTTCATAAACTAGCATAAATGATCTATTTGGTTACATATATCAGATATTATATTAAAAGTAGTATTTGTAGGATCTCTATAAAGCAAATAGTATAAATGGATGCTGAAGGGCTCAAACCTACTCTTAACATGTATGTAGACCAGAGCTAGAATCTTGTGTCTTACTAGGTCTGTGAGCAGGTTACTGACCATTTATAGACCTAACTTTTCTCATAAAATAATGGCAATAATATCCAACTCATAGGGTTTATTATGATAATTAATATGGTAAGATTACTAGACTATAAGCTTCATGGTGGAAAGGACTATATCTGTTTTGTTCCTCTATGTAGCCTTAGTGAATAGCATATGTCTGGACAGTAGTAGGTATTTATGTCAATTCCTCTTCCCTACATAGCAGTACAGAATAAAGCACTGTGCCTGGGGATAGCTATATAGTGGTTATTTCATCTTGGGGTTTTCATTTGTTTTTTAGATTGACATTTTACCTTGACATTGGCTACCTGTCACTATATGTAACAAGCAACCTGACTTCTCTGGATTTCAGGTTCTTAATCTGTTACACAACAGAATTAGGCTCAAATATACAAAAATACAAATACAGCTATATTTTTTTAATATTTTATTAATTTTTACAAAGAGGAAAGGAGAGGGATAGAGAGTTGGAAACATCAATGAGAGAGAAACATCGATCAGCTGCCTCCTGCACACCCCCTGCTGGGGATGTGCCCACAACCAAGGCACATGCCCTTGATTGGAATCAAACCCGGGGCCCTTCAGTTGGCAGACAGACGCTCTATTCACTGAGCCAAACCAGTCAGGGCCCTATATTTTGCTTGATGCCTATAGCCTGACAGCATACCCTATATATTAGTCTTTTCAGAAAGTAAATGATAAAGAATATTTCTGTTACGAAAAAAAAAAAAAAGCAAATTCAAGTTACACATTCATGGATAGCCCCCAAAGACAGACATCGCCTGAATAAAACAACATCTGATATGTCAAACTGTGTTCAGTGACCATCATTTCATTTGGGGCCTTGCCATCTGGCACCCTGCGTTAGCTTGATTCTTCTATTTCTGATCTAATTCTCACCCTTTCTCGTTTGGTTCCTATTCTTCTTCTGCCCGCTATGGTTATGCCTAAAATTCACCCCTCAGCATCTGATAAGTTCATTTACTCTCACAACTTTACTACTAGAGTTATCACAGTTAAACTGGGTCCCGCGGTCACTAGATCAATAGGTCAAAACAAACCTCAGGACCCCTGTTCCTAAGATGCAATGCCCATGCAGCATCTGTAAAGCCTCGCTGACCACAGAGAAGCAGGGATACCCAGGCCTGCAGCCCTGTGGGACACAGCAAGGCTTTACAGATTTATTCGGGCTGGAAGCCTGAGATCCACATTGAGTTAGTTCCCTTTCTCCCATTACACATCTTTACATCCCTCAGCGTCCTTTCCTCACAATATGAACCTCTTCTTAGTGGACGACTCTACCGTTGTAGGCCTGGCTTTACCAGCTCAATGGCACTATAACTGAAGTGAAAGAATGAAGCCCCAGATGACGATGGCCTTGAGAGTGTGATAAATAAGACCTACTGAGAGCAACAAGTCAATATTCCTGCCAACGTGCCAGCTGACTCACCTGATGTTTTCCAGGGCGTTCGTTATCTGCTGTTGCTCAATATCAAACAGTTTCACCCTGAAGCCTCCACTGGCAAACAACATAGCCCAGCTTCGCCCAATGAGGCCACTAAAGAGAGAGAAAGTCAGGAGAGGCTCCCAGTTAATTTAGTAACCGAAGAGTTTTTTATTCCTAACCCAGAATAACTTTTTTTCAAATTATACAGCATCCTATTCTTAAAATATTTATATCTTGAAATTACACATCTTGAGGTAGGTAACCACCAGTTACCTACCTCCCATAACTACAACTAAAATACAGAACAACCATCATTCAGAACTTCTTGAAAAACTAGAGAATTAAAGAAATAAGTGCACTAACTGGTAGGAGGGGTGGAAGCATGGAATGGGCTGGTCCAACACCCACATGTGACCTGTTTTTATTTTATTATTAATATATTTTTATTGATTTCAAAGAGGAAGGGAGAGGGAGAGATACAAACATCAATAATGAGAGAGAATCATTGTTTGGTTGCCTCCACCATGCTCCCTACTGGGGATCGAGCCCACAACCCAGGCATGTGCCCTTAATCGGAATCAAACCTGGGACCCTTCAGTCCACAGGCTGACGCTCTATCCACTGAGCCAAACCGGCTAGGACCGTGGTTGACAAAATTGCGGCTCGCAAGCCACATGCGGCTCTTTGGCCTCTTGAGTGTGACTCTTCCACAAAATATCACAGCCTGGGCAAGTCTATTTTGAAGAAGTGACGTTAGAAGTTTAAGTAAAAAATTTGGCTCTCAAAAGAAATTTCAATCGTTGTACTGTTGATATTTGGCTCTGTTGACTAATGAGTTTGCCGACCACTGGGCTAGGGCATGTGGCCTGTTTTTATTCAGGAGGGATGTCTTGGCTAAGAAGGTCTCCTGTGAGGAGCAAGGGGTCCCAGCCCCACACCAGAACCCCACTGCAGGATTCCAGTGCCCATAACTTCATGTGGAGGAGGGCAATGGGGAGGAATAATAGGGGGGGGGGGCATTGTAATACTATCAAATACTTATTTTGATAGCTGCATTTGGGTCTAAATGTTGTCTTTTCCACATAGGAGCTACTGAATCCTCAATTCCAGCCCAGCATTAATAATGAGCATAGAGTACCATCGGACAGGTAGTTGACATGCACTCACAACTCAAACAAAAAGTTAGAGTAGGGAGGTGACAGATGTCGTGGATGTGACAGGGATCCTCCATCTGACCATTTCACTCATCCTGAAGAACAGGCAGAATTTCCCGTCTCTTAAATAAATAAATAACTGCTATCACCACTGGCAGTAGACCATGCCTTAGGTGCCAGGCAACATTAAAAATGTTATGTGTCCCACCTCTGTTAATCTCTACAACAATCCTACAAGGTCAGTACTATTATTATTTCCATTTTATACAAAGGAAAACTGAGGCAAGGTGGGTTAAGGCGATACATGCTCTAAGTGCTAGAGCTGAAATAAACTCCAGCAGTCTGACTCTTGAATCCTTACCACTGTTTCAGATATATTGGAAATATAGTGTTAAATGACATTACAGTGTTACATTCAGCAAATTCCAGGATGGAAAATTTTACAAATGATCCATGTTCTTCAATAAGTAACTGCCAGGACCGAGATCATTTCTCAGAGTTATGTTTGCAGGGAAGAGGAAATATATCCCTCAAGGACAAAGAGTAAGCTTGCTTACCTCTTACCATAAAAACAGTGGCTTCCCCAAGTTCAATGTTGTTCTCCTGAAACATAGGAGGTGTCCACCAGCCCCTCCACTTCACCTCCATGGGACTCGGGGAGAAGGAAACCATCCCAAGTATGAATGTTCTTGCTCTGCTGAAATTCATAGTCTTTTGTCTCTGACTCTGCACTTCATATCCTCTGCCAACCTTCAAGAAACAGTAACCGGCTAATTTACCGGCATGCAGGTAGCCTGAATGTACCTTACGGCAAGCTTGTCTCACCGGTGGTGTTATTTCACTGTAGTAATTATATGAGCCACAGTGGGGAAGGGAGGCTAGAATAGCAGTCGCAGGTTGGGCTCCAAGAAGCGTTCTCCCTCTCCTCCCACTTCCTCTTTATTCAGCTAATCTGTAATTCAAGTCCTCTAATTCTGGCTTCACACCAGAGATAGTTACAATCCCTAAATCTTCTGTCATAGCTTTCATGCTCAAGTGATTGAAGCAAAAAGCTTAGCACACCTCCCATTAATAAAAAATTCTGCAATTGCCACAGAAGTGCTATCCAAGCTTCCAAGCTCTGGCAGGATGCTCACTTGAGCTAAGCCTTTAATGCATACAAAGGGTCACTGAAAGGGGCTACTGTCTTCTCATAAGGTAGCTTATGTGAAACTGTTTAGGGGGGGAAAGTGAAAGCAACTGAAATAATCTTTACACAACTTCTGAACTTCTGGAGAAGGGAGCGGGATTATACAGTGGATTTATTCCATATTCTTCTGCAATACTTAAATCTTTGGAAATTAAAATTTATATATCAATTCTTATAAAAAATTTTCTGAAATGCTCTGTGCTCTAGACCTGCACTGTCCAATATGGTAGACTCTAGCCACAAAACTCAGTTTATCCAAAATACTAAGCATATTTAAAGTACTCAACAGCCACAGGTGATAGTGCCTACCGGACAGCAAGGGAAATCAAAGTCCACGCATGAAGCCATCTTTTCCTTCAACAACAAACACAAACACACACTCACTCACTCTAGAGCTGCAAGGCAGTTAGTTAGAAGGCCAATTAACATTCATGCTGGTCATCCCAACTGACTAGCCATTGGCCTTAAACATTCCTATTGCCTTTCTCATAATGTCTGAAACATGTAGTGACTTATTTAATTGTAAAAGAAGCCCTTACTGCAGCCGAAATCTAGAATGAAGAATTACTTCACAGTGGGGTTTACAGTGGTGTGTTTATTCTGTGATAATCATCAAGCTGTATGCATATGATTTCTGCACTTTCTCTATTAAGACATGTCATGTTCCTTTAAAAAATAATTTTCTTTGCCACTTTGTAGTTTAAGAAAATACCATACCCCTACAAAATGATTCATCCATACATGTAAAAGCCTTCACCACATGGTAATCAGGCACCTGACCCTCACTCCCTCAGGGATGAGACCTCCACTTAATCTCTAAAGCAACCTTAGCATCAGACCCTCAATCTATTTGGTCCTCTGAAACCTGTGTCCACCACACAGTGAAACTGAGAACTATGCAGAGGAAAACAGAACTGCAAATGCCAGGCATAGGGAACAGGAAGTGCTAGCAAACTGAACAATGGTAGAAGGGAGAGTTGCTTCAATTGTATTTTTATAAAAGTACAAGAAAGCAGATTTTGAGAAAGCTGCCTTCTCCCACTTTTAATGGCTCCCACTGTAATGCAGACTCGTTTGAGAGGTGCTTAGACTTAGCTTTTAAAAGCAAGTCAAGGAGTGGGAGGAGGTTTACCTTGAATCTGTTATGATCTCCTTTATGGAAAGTCTTTTCTGTAAAAGCAGCTATATAGCACTTTGGGCTAATAAAATAATTAATAAATAGAAACCCCATTTAAAAAAAAGTTAGGCCCTAGCCAGTTTTGCTCAGTAGATAGCATGTCAGCCTGCAGACCAAAGGGTTCTGAGTTTAATTCTGGCTCCTCCCCAGACCGGGCCCTGATTGGGGCACAGGAGGCAATCAATCAATAAGTTTCTCACATCAATGTTTCTCTTTCTTCCTTCCCTCTTCGACACTCTCCCTGAAAATCAATGGAAAAAATATCCTCAGATGAAGATTAACCAAAGTAATAAATAAATAAATGAATGAATAAATAAATCTACATGAATAAAAGAGAAACATGCAAATTGACTGTCCCTCCACTACACCCACCAGCCAATCAGGAGCAAGTATACAAATTAACTCAACAAAGATTGTGGTTAATTTGAATACCTAGACACAGAGCAAAGACTGAAGACAGCATAGAAGGAAGCCAAGCACTGCAGAAGGGAGCAAAGCAGCGGAGAAGAGACGGAGCAAGGCAGCAGAGACAGGAAAGAGTGAAGCAGAGGAGACAGGAGGAAGCGAGGCAGTGGAGAAGGAAGCAAGACAGGCTTTGCTCCTTTCTCTGCTTCGTTCAGGCCACAGGAAGCCCTATTCTTGCAGGAATAAGCCCAAGGAAGCCATATTCTTGCAGGAATCTTCCTGCAACGGGCCTCAAAGTAAATAAATAAATCCTGTCTAATAAAAGGGCAATATGCAAATTAACCATCACTCTATCACATAGTTGGCGGTGCCCATAGCAACCGGAGCAGTGTCTCGTGCCCTGGTGGCATGAAGGGAGGGAGGGGCCTCTGAGGGCAACCAAGCCCAATGTCCTGCACCCCAGCTGTGCAGAAGAAAGGAGGGGCCTCTGGCCAGAGGTTGGGGCATGGGATGCTGGCATCGTTGCAGGCCAGGTGGAAGGATCTCCCCATCCCCTGTGCACTAATTTTGTGCACCAGGCCTCAAGTAAGTAGATAGATAGATAGATAGATAGATAGATAGATAAAATGAAGTCAGAAGGCCAGATGGAATACTCTCTTGCTCTGAGATGGTGGAATCCAACGGGAAGAACTTTTTATCACAGCTCTCCAAACTTCTCCTCCCCTATAAAGTAGCATTTTTCTCCTTTGTTCTGAGGATTTGCCTGATGTTTGCCAGAAAATCACATGTCCCAAATTGCAAGTCTTTGTTATTCCTGAAAAAAGAAAATTTTTTGCTGGAGAAATATTTAGCTATCTGTTTAAAGTCAACACCAGTCTGAAGTGATATGCACTGTAGGTATAAAATACACCCTAGATTTTGAAGACAATACCAAAAAAAGTAAACTATTTCATTAATATTATTTTATATAAATTACATGTTGAAATAATACTTTGGAAATATTATGCTAATAAATATATTATTAAAATTAATTTGACCTTTTCTTTTTACTTTTTTAAGATATCAAGAGAAAATTTAATTATGTATGTGGCTTGCCCTTTTCTAAAGGACAGTGATCACTTAAAAAATTATCTTGTGCTATCAATCAATCACTTACAATTCAATCAATAGTTAATTTATTTCAGGA